TCACCCGTGATTCCTTGAGTAATTGTCTTAGTTTTATTTACCCCTTTTGAGATTTTATTTGAAGCCACGAAACCATCATGACATTTTGGTACTCCTTATAAGGAATGGAAATAATAACCAAAAAATTATCAGCACGATTAAAATCAAAATATTGTATTGAAAGTATTGTATTGATTTTAAGGTGTAAATCTCTGAAACATCTTTCTCTAAAATATTATTGAATTCTTAAGTCGATTCAACTGGTTGAATTATAGATTGATTGATAATTTAGTTAGAATTATATATTTTATTAGAAACTTAAATACATATTATGTAAGCTGGTATTACAGAATATATCAATTCAGCAGTTAAAGAAGAATGATAAAATGGAAACTCTACAAAGAAGCAGCTTAAGTAACATTAAAGCAAGCCTTTAATTGTGAAATGAATTTTACTTGAATGATCATAATGCGAAAAACTTATGAAATTGAAGAAGTTAAATCATATGATATATTATGCAATATAGTATCATTTGATGAAATGTCTGAAAAAGAAACACAAGAGGAAAAGAAGATGATAAAAATATAAAAGGACTATTCTCTAAAGACCTTTTAAAGGATGTCAAAAGTCAAAGAATTGAAGATATTTTTGAAGAAATAATTCAAGTTCATTAAAACACTTTTGTAAAAGATAATGAATCTAATGCAGATGATAAACCAATATGTTCTTGTAATACTATAATTCACATGAATTATGACAAAATCCTGAGACTATTAAAATGAAATTGAAAATTAGTTAATAAGAAAACAAAGTTCAACCATAATGAACAAAATTACTGCGCCACTAATTTTCAGATGCTTTTATGAAAAATAACAAAGTCTCAGAGGTGATTTTCTCATGATCTACTGATTAGAAATTCGAAATATTAATATCAACGTGTTTACTGAGTTAAGAGCTTCACAATAGTATAAATTTTATTCTGAACAGACTACTGGATGCTGAGATAATTGAAGTAATACAATTATTTATTTTGAGAAATAGAACATGAAACACCTTGAATTCAAAAATCTTTGAAAATAAAATAGGATCTTTATTTTGGAAAATTGATTAAATTATTTTGATCATATGAAATAATGACATATGATGAATTATGAGAAGGATGTAAAGAAAATTTTAGCGAAGAATTAAAGATGATCATGTAAGAAATTGAACCTCATATACTATAATGTATAAGAGACTAATTTGAATTGAATCTGAGTACTGGTATCACCAAACTCCAAAGTTTATTTGATTATACTAAGGACATATCATACAGACTACAGCAGATGTTAGAACCAGTTTTATGCAAATATGTGATAAGCCTAGAACAATATGATCTGATGATAAAAAGAAAATTTTAAGTGAAAATAGGAATGATGAAATATAAATTGTTACTAGAAAAAGTAAAAGGGCAAAGATGCAACAATGTGCAAAATTTTATTGAAAATAGAAAGATAATAAAATATATCAATATAGAAGAGAAAAAGAAAATACATTTGTAAGAAACTATTTATAACAACTATTACTAGCTATAAAAGATAAAAAGAGAGAGCGTAATCTATAGAACAGCCAAAAGGTAATGGCAAAGCATAGTTCTATGACAGGCAAAATGCAAATGACATCTCTCCCTGAAAAGATATTTAGTAGAAAATTAATCATTAAGAAGCACGTGATAAGAAAAATTAAATTCTTCACTTCTCTGATGAAGTTGCTCTAATATTCTTTTAAAGTTTCTTTAGATTTGATCTAAATTATTCTGAAGATTTTGAACTGATTAGACATCTTCATAACTTTGGAGGTGATTAACATCAGCTCTTGCACAATTGTATTAAAATAGAAGGCTCTCATATTCTACTTCAAGATCTTAATATCAACGTCTATTGTGAGATAAATAAGAAGATAAATGATAAATTTCGTTAGATAAACTATCTACTTGAGACAAAGAGGAATTTAATAGTTGTTGAAGCCTATGATTTTCAATATCAAGTTCATCTATTCTTTGTTATCTTGTCTCTTCTTCTTGATTTTGAAGGTTATATTGGCAACGTGAGAAAAATTGCTTGCGGAAACTTTTACCCATATTGAAAAAATATATATATATATATATATATATTGAAAAGAAGAAATTTAAAATTTTGCAATAATTTTGGGAAGAAAGAAAAATTTGGAGAAAAATAGAAGGAATTCTTGGATAAATATTTATAATTAAAAGAAGTGGCTATAAAAAATTCTCAAGATCGTGAGAATTATTTTCTTGCAGAAAATAAACAAAAATCCATTGGATTACATTGGATAATGATCATTGCATGAAAATCTATAGAACAAAAACCTGTTTAAAATTAGCGTAGTTGATCAACATTACTAAATTAGATGATCACGCAATATTTGCATAGTACATTTTTGATCAATATTTCTTTATTTAGTATAAAATTCAGGAAATTTTCATAAACTGCATAATTTTAAGAGTTCAACAAAATGCATGCATGAGAATCAAGGAATATAAAAATGTTAGTTTTCCTGAAAAAGAAACTACTTACAATATTTATATGGGTTATGCATTAAGAAAAGTTAAATGACATAATCAGTTGATTAAAAATTAATTTTAGATTTGTGTTCAGTAATTTTCTCGTGGTAGATTTCTTAAATATTAGATTTTAATGAACTTTACTGATATAGAAAGAGATTAGTTTATCATATTTGAAGATCAAATTGATATTATCAAACCACTAAGTATATAATTTTATTTACAAATGATTGATAAATACACAATTCAGCCATAATTACCAATTTAACCTAACGAACCACCAGCGAAGAAAAATTCCATGAAAAAGTCCAAGTAAAAATAAAAATCCCAACCACCATCCAGACCACCCAATTGAAGTTAACACCTGACCTTCTCACAAATCTTTATAAAATAATCACTGCTTCAAAAATACCTCTTTTTGATGTAAGTTTTCAACTTCTAGTGTATTTATTCTTTATATTAATAGTTCTTCACAAGTATTTTAATCAGCTATAAGATATGCTAGCCTATCTGCCATTAGTAATCTTCCTTTTTCTTCTTCCTGTACTTGAACTTGTAGTTCAGTAGCTCTTTGAAGTTTATTTCTTTGAAACGTGTGAAAAATTTTCATACGTTCAGTTTTCTTTTGAAAAGAATTTTGAGAAATATTTGAAGAAGGCATTGTTAGATTTAAAATGTTTGAAAAACTTTAGGAAAAAGGTTGATTTTGAAAACTCAATTAATACGCGTAAAAAATTAATATTTAAAGGAAATAATTAATCACGTGAGCTTAATCAAATAATTATTCAAAATTGAAGTATTTATATAGAATTTTGAATTCCATAATTCTAAAAATAAGCAAATTTTAGCCCTATATAACATTAAGAGAGTATATGTTTGTAAGGTCGAATTGCAGATAAACTATGAACAGCGGAATATCTGCACATAGTTCTTTTTGTAAAATTTTTAGAATAATTATTTATTTTTTTATTTTATTTCGAAGGAGCTCAAATCTAAGAAGAGGGAAATGTGATGGGTGAAATTTTAGATAGATTTAATTAGTAGAAAATGAAGTCCATTTTATTGCTATGTAGATCTTTTATGAAGATTAATTTGTCCATTTTATTGCCGTTGATCAATTATGCAAATCATTAGATGTCAATTTTATTGCCTTTGATAATCATGTAGATCATAGATGTTTATTTAGTTGCCTGCAGATCTGGCAACTTTATTTCCTGCAGATCTGTCAATTTAATTTCCTTTGAATATTTTTAGTTTGGTTTATTTAATTATTTAATATATATAAATATCTTTGTATTTTTATTAAGTTTCATTACCTTTCTGGTAAAGGTAACTGACAAGATGTTAATCTTTTAGGTACTGGACTTATATATTATATTAATAAAGGAGTATAATTAACCAAGTATAAAACTTATCTTTCGCAAACCCTTTGAAACTGTTATAAATTATTCGTGATCCATTGCATTTATGCAATCCCTTTAATTATTGTTAGTGAACTTATTATATGATATTGTATTGATTCGCTATATTGACTTGGAGTCTCTGAAGCGTAATCTCTAAAATATCTTTGAGTTAACTTTGTGTTTATTTTGTGTTTACCTCACGTGATTTATATTGAGAATAATTCTTCGACTTTATCGTGAATCCTCACCTGTGATTCCTTAAGTAATTGTCTTAGTTTTATTTACCCTTTTTGAAATTTTATTTAAAGTCATGAAACTATCGTGACAACGTCATTAATGTTAGCATGAATATAATAGCTGATTATTCTAATTTTGACATGTTCTTTTAAAAATAATCAACGTATATTAGTCTTGGGTCTGAAGTGAATAAAGATGCAATGTGTTTATCCCATTTTTTGGAGATTAATAGATTAACTCCTGCATAAGGTTGTGATGAATCAGGTTGGCTCCAAAAAGTAGTAAATTGTTGATTCTGTTTGTGTTTAAAAAGCATAGATGTCTTATGATGTGTTTCAGTGAGACCAACAAAATTAACTTTGTTATGTGTAAAGTGTTCTATGATTTGAGAAGATTTGATTGGGTCTGTAGAATCATTGATTCCTCTGATATTGTGAGTAGCAAAAGTAAGTATGTCTCCTTTGATTATATTGGTGGATAGAGTATTGTCTAAATGGGAAATGTTTTTGTCAATTTTATTAATTATATTTTGTCTATTTTCATGAAAGTGAGCCACCTGGTTATTTAAAAATGAATTAATGTCATCATCCATAAGATAGGTATTCCGGTTATCAGTAGGAATACTATTCATCTGTGATTTTCCTGGTGTGGAGTATATTATAAGCAATGAGCCATATGCCCATCATTATTGGTGAAGGCAAGGAATTGTGAATCTAATTTGGCAAGATGGAATTTGATTGAATCCAACTCTTGAAGTTTGGATAGAATTAAAGCTAGTGGATCAGAGTTGTTGTTGTTACTATTGTTGTTAGACCATCGGTTTCGTCATTACAATAGTTTTCATCGTTTCCATCATTTTCGTAATTTCGGCCAGACGATCGCTAATTCGCGTTAAGGAATTACAGCTCCGTTTAGCAATGATCTACAGAATTATACTTGATCATTCTTTTTGAAATATCTCGTTATCTATTGGTCCAATCAGGTCGAACTTATATTCGTTGGAAAGCTCTCGTCAAGTAATACTATTTCCATCGAAATATTGATCATTAGTTCAAGAGTTATTCCATTTAACAATATCATAATTTTCATATCATTCTAATGGAAGATTTTAAAATAGACATAAATAAAAAATATAGATCCAAACTTCAAAAGCAGCTGCAAAATTTCCTTCATAATATCATTAACCTTGATTTCATTCACACTCTCATCCCCTTTCAATCTACATACTCCCCTATGTTCTGTTCCTCTTCTTCCTATGATTCAACTTCCCATATAGACTACATTTTCACCTTTATCAACCTATCACATGATCTCACTTCATTCTACATTCTAAATGACTCCTATTATCTTTATTCAACTGATTACTACCCATTACTGATTACTCTTTATAAAAAAATTTTTTTTTTCCAAACATTCTCAGCTTATCAAAAGCAACACAAAATCATAAAACAGTCCTTCCTTTATCTTCATTAAGATCTTTTTTAGATAAAACTGACCTATTACTCAAACAAAATACTAAATTTAATGATATCTTCATCTAAGACCTTTACACTTCTAACAATTTAATCAATGAAGCCTGAGAGTTTTTTGTTCAAACTGTTATAAAGTCAGCATTTAAACACATCCTAAAACAAACTACATCAGCTCATTACAATTCCTTTTACTCATGTTTAAATTTCTCAATTCACAAATAAATCAACAAAATTTAAAAACTTTATTATTGATGCAAAATTTTTACCCTATCCTCTTTTTTTTTCAACATTACTTCACAAAATTTCTTTCTCATTTCATTCACAGATCACAATTTTATTTTTAAAACTGCAGCTAAATATTTTATTTCTTCTAGTTTATTAGATAACCATTATGATAACAACTACCTATTTCTATATTTACATGAACTAAAACATGACATTCTGAAACTATTACATGTAAAACAACTTATCATTAATCAAAAAGAAAATAATGATTGTATACATCAATTCATTCAAAGACGTGTCAATAATTTTAAAGATGCTTCTACAAAAATGATAGATTCCTTTTTGGAAAGAAACAAAAAGACCATCATACTAGACCGTATCTTGATAAATCATAATACACCTGATCAACATTTAGCTTTAGATCCTGATACTATCAAACTTCATACTATATAACATTTCCAATCTGTCACTAGCTCTACAAATAAAAACGTTACAGATCTAAGTAATAACAATTTCTTTTCAAATTGGCCTATTTGGAAAAGATACTAAGATTCTATTGATGACATTTCTAAAGACACTTATGACACTCTTATGGATCTCCTATTGATTAATGAATAGAATAACATTATTAAACACTTACCTGATCAGAAAGCTCTAGACCCATCAAAGATTACTAATGAGATATTAAAGAAGCTAGGCCCAAAATGCAAAATTTCCTCTACAATATTATTTATGCATGCCTAATTAATAAATTTACTCTAACACAGTGGAATTTAGTTTACATATATTCAATTCCAAAGCCTAAACTATAGAACTGTCAACTTAACAATACCAGACCAATTATACTACTTAAAATAGTCAGAAAAGCTTTTATCAAATTGTTGAATCAACAACTACAAGATATATTCATCAAGAATAAAGTTTTTAAAGGACTTAACTTCGCTTGTTTACTACATCAATTGACACTAGAACCTTTGCATATAGTTAATAATATTTTAGAATTCCACCATCTAAAAGAAAAAATGTCTGAGAATCACAAATCAGACATTTATATACTGTTTCAAGATATGTCTAAAGCATATAATTAAGTTAATATTTATATGTTAATGAAAGTTCTACACAGATTAAAAATTCCAGCTTCTTTATAATGCTTATTACCAATTTATTTCTTAACAGAAAAAATAGTGTCTTCACCACATATGATAATACTAATTTCTAT